AAGATACCCCAAGCTGTACCCTTCGAGTAAAATACCCATCAAAATAGTCTATTTGTAAAATACCCTGGGTACTTAAGTCAGTGCTGTACGGTACGTACGTATTTAATGCACAAAATATCAATCTACTGTATATACTTAGTAAAATTTTGACTTTTATATGGTCATTATTTGATTATCCCTGAATGTATAATATTAAGCACCCTTGTATAATAAATTACGCTTTTTCTTTTTTTGATAAAAATTTAGATTTTACGTATCAAAAGCTATATACAATATTACTTAAAAATATGTATATATATATAAATATAAATATATATATATATATATATACTGTATTTATATTTAAACTTTTAGATACGTACGTACGTAAAAACTCTGCAATTTTAAATTTAATATAAAATATTTGATGCAATTAGACAATTATAAAATTGGATAAAGTTTAGTTAATATTATAATATACTAGAAATCGCAATTGAAGTAAAAATCAATATACGTACAAGGAGGTAAACTTCTCCGAGAAGATAAAAACATCGAAATAACTACGTAGAAAAAAATATCTTAAAAGGTTGATCATAAGGTGTGTCACAACTTGAATACGTATGTACTGTACGTATAAGGAGGATTCCGGCATATTTCTGTATTTATCGTTTATTCACGCCAATACGTATTATATCATAGCAATACAATATATATTATATATATATATATATAATATATATATATATATATTATCGTTTTTTAGATATTATTATGAAGCATATTATGTAATTATTATTATTCACCTTTTTCTTAAAAAATCCTTGTTTCCACTTCCTATTCTAAGGAAAGTGTAAATGCGAGAATGTATCCAAATATTGAAATATTATTGTAGATCAAATATTTGAAGAGAAGAAATAAGAAACAGATGTTTCTTGCGCCATGTGCCTTATAAGGTTGATTATGGTAAGTTATGATTAAAACAGGATTGTTCAGATGTTGATCGTTGGCAAATAGCGAACCACCATCACCACAATCACGAAGCAACACAAACACGAAGTGTTACACTGCATTACCGAAGTTATTTATTGCAATATTTAGGCAATAAACTTGATAAATTAAGTTTACTTAAATCGGTATTTCGGAATTCACCATTTTTTTTTTATAAATACTGAAAAAAATGAAATACATGGCTAAAAAAACATTTACAAAACCTACCGAAGGAAAAACGGTTTAAGAATATATATAAATATATATGAATATATAAAATATGCGCAATAATTCTGATACTTCGATTTCAACTATAACACCACCTTTAACTCATAGTAGTGATGAAGAAGATACACCATATCACCTGAGTTTTGAGAGTTCAGAAAGTTCAGAGAATTCTATAAACATAAAAAAACCCCCTGATGTAAAACATCGATATCATAAAGTTCCAATTCAAGTTGATGAATCCTTATGTTCACAATTCTATGACTTTCCCTTGGGTTCTTATTCACCTTGTCAAATAAACACTACTACATCTCTTGAACAACAATATCCTTCTGATCAAGAATATTATATTGGTTTAAAGAATCCCTCAAAGC